TACAATGCCACAAATATTCTTAAGAGTCCCTCATTCACCACCAAATCTCCTTTGCTTCCCTCATCTTCCAGAGGCAAATGCTACCCTGAAGTTGGTGATACCTTCATCTAAATTTCTATACATTTAGACATAAGTACACATAGTTTCTTCTGTTTTTTAAAAAAATCTGCCTGCATTATTACGGTTTGCAAATGATGTGAGTCTGTCCCCCAAGGGTTCCTGTGTGAGAATCCTCATCCCCAGAGTGGTGGTGTTGGAAGACAGTGTGGAACCTTAAAGAGGCAGGGCCTGGTGGGAGGTCCATAGGTCATTTGGGGGCATGCCTTTGGAAGGGATTGTGGACCCCAGACCCTCTCTAGTTTCTTATTTTGTGAAGTGATCTCTTGTTCCCACACATTGGGATTCCATCCCCTATTAAGATTTCACTAGAGACCAAACTAAACCAGCGGGGAGATCAGATTTTAGTTTTTCAGCTTCCTAAATTTTGAACTGAAAAAAAAATTCTTTTTTTCTTTATAAAGTTAGCATGCCTCAGTTATTTCATTATAATAACAGAAGGCAAGCTAATACGCATAGGATCATGGTAAATGTATCCTTTTCCTTTTTTGCTTTTCTCATTCAATATTATGGTTTTGCAGCTCATCCCTGTAATATGATTTCATTAATCATTTGATTTATTTTTTTATTAAGATGTAATAAATGGGGCTGGGGTGGTAGCTCAGTGGAAGAGTGCTTGCCTAACTGGATTCAATTCTCAGCACCACATATGAATAAAGTCCATCAACAACTAAAGAATATTTTTTTTTAAATGTAATAAATGTACATGTTTATGTGGTACAATATGGTATTCTGAGATAGGTTTATATTGTAAAGGATCAGTTCATGGTAATTAGCATATTCATCATGTTTATCATTTCTTATACTGAGATACTTTATCCTCAGTAGAATGATTAAAACTAAAAATAATAGTGTTCAAAAAAGCTGGAACACTTTTATAAAATAAATTTCAACTGAAATTGGGTACAAGTATATCTAAATGTAATTGTTGTCCTGCCCCCTCCCTTTTATTGTTTCTTTTTTTGGTTTGGTTTGGTTTGGGGTTTTTTTTGGTTTTACTGTGCTAAACATTTTTGTACGTGTTGCCTTGAGCTTATAGAAGCAGCTTCTCTAGAGCCAAGCTTCCCAACCAGTCCAACCAATGCTGCGTGGCAATGCCCCATAGCTGGGGTGATGATGGGGAGCACCTCAGCCCACAGGGAAGCCAGGTGTACCTGAGGTGACCACAGCTCCCTGGATGGTCACCTCCTACTGTGAGCAGACTTCTCAGGTTACCCCAATGTGCCAAATGACTATTCTCATTCTCTGTTTGTTGCAGTGGGAAAGAGGTTGGAAAACACTCCTCCAAGATATATACACATTTAACTGTATGGTTATTATTAAATTATTCTCAAAATAATTTTATCAATCCATATGCCATTTTGCCCAGCTTGAATTTTTATTTTTTTGCAAATGTGATAGCTAGGAGACCATATCTTGTTTTAATTTGCATTTTTCTAATAAATCTGAAAGTCTTTCCTGTATTTATCAGCATATGTTCATAATTTGTGAATCCTTATTTTCTATCCTGTGCTCACTTTGTGATTAAGGTGTTTTTTTCTTCCTCTTACTGATTTGTAATGGTTGTATGTATTCTGGATACTAATATTTTGTTGGTGATATACCTTGTAAATATTTTGTTCCAATCTCTAGTTTACATTTTAACCTTATTTTTAGCATCATTTTTCATAAAACTTTTTTCCCGTTTTTATTTATATTTCAGATGAAGAAATTTGAGGCTCAGAGTTACATGGTAATAATATTGTAGTACCAAATGCCATCACCATGCTTGCCACCATAAAGCAGGTTTCAGAGGTCCTCTAGGTCTGCCTCTACTTGCTTTTGGCTTTGAAAAAAAAAAGGTCTAAAAATAGTTTTCTCATGTTAGTGAAGTGGTAACTTGATTAAGACACAGATGGATGAATAATTAGTCACCTAACCTCTACTCATATACCTATTTAGTGTCAAAGCTGCCAAAATCCTTTACCATTTCCCGAAGTATGGTCAGTGAAATCCTTACAAAGTATTCTGTAGTCACTTTCATTTTTTTCTCCTCTTAAAATTTTCAGAGCTTACAGTTTGATATTAAAAATTCCATTAATAGGACTTAATGGAATGTCCTATGGTTTAAAATAGTAACTGAATTTTGTATCCATAATTTCCTAAACTTATTGGTCTGTGGAATGCCCCTTTTGTACAGAGCACCTAATCACATCCCAAGAAATTCTATAGCATAGACTTTGATATTCTTTATTCTTGAAACCATTCCTCTCAGATTGCCAAGACTGCCTTCCCCTGTGCTGGTACTTTTCCATATACACTAGTATATGTATGAAAATAGAAGTGTTGATATCCATGATATTGAACCTGAAGTACTGGTCTATAGAAAAGAAGCTCTGCTGGATTAGAGGAGAAACAGTAAGGCTAATTTTTCCCCTAATGTGGTCTTATGACTAACTCTGTGAGGATGCATGATAAAAATATTCTCCCCTCCTTTATGTATGCATGTGTTAAATAACGTGGAAATTATTGTGGTGGTGGGATTATGATTAATTTTGAGTCTTGTAGGGGAAGATATGGCTCTTTGGAAGGGTCTGTCACTCACCCAACAACCCAGAGTCCTAAGGCAGGAGACAGGAACTCAGAAATGAGTACTTTGCTAGTGGCAAAGTTTCTCTCTGGAATTAGCTCTCTTGAGCTCAGAAGTTAAGAAACTGAAACATTCATGCAAACATTCATGCTCCTAAGAAAAAGACGGCTGGGAGCTTGTGACTTCAAACTCCAGAGTAAAGTGTCCCTTTGATTCACAAAAAAGGGCAGATTTTACTCTATCTTTTATGTTTCCATTTTAAACAATGTGTGTATTATCCATTCAAAAACTGAACCAATGAAATTAATAATAAACGACTAGATGTCATTTCCAAATTCAGTATTTCTATTAAGATTCCACTATTGGGCTGGGGTTATAGCTCAGTGATAGAGTGCTTACCTAGCACATTTAAGGCACTGGGTTCAATCTTCAGCACTACCTAAAAATAAATAAAGGTCTTATGTCCATCTACAACTAAAAAATATATTTAAAAAAAAAAAGATTACCATGTGTCACATGGTAATCACAAAGATTACCTCACACTCAAAACTATGACCACCAAAACAAGTAGAATATACCTGTGAAGAAGTGATTATGATAATCCTGAGGGAAAGCACAGGATTCAAATTTACATATACAAAATATTGTAGATAAATCAACTGTGCTTTTTAAAAAAATGGCAAGAAATATATGTGCCAATATGTTAACTATGGTGGTTTTTATTTTTTTTAATTTTTTTTTAAAGAGAGAGTGAGAGAGAGAGAGAGAGAGAATTTTTAATATTTATTTTTTAGTTCTCGGCGGACACAACATCATTGTTGGTATGTGGTGCTGAGGATCGAACCCTGGCTGCACGCATGGCAGGCGAGCGCGCTACCGCTTGAGCCACATCCCCAGCCCATATGGTGGTTTTTAAATTGCTAGGAAGAATAGTGAATATTTTTCCCCTTCCTCCAACTTAAGAACTTTCTGTTATTCATATTAGTATAAGCTACTTTTCAAATGATTTTTTAAAGTATTTTTTAGTTGTTAATGGACTTTTATTTAATTTATTTATTTATATGAGATACTGAGAATCGAACCCAGTGCCTCATATATGCTCAGCAAGTGCTCTACTACAACCCCAGCCCTCAAATGATTTTTTTAAAAGTTAATTTTAACAAGAAAAAATATTTTTATGTTAGTATACCAGATGCAGGGACAAACTTACAACTAATATGTATTTTACGAAGGTCTCTCCACTCCCTTTTGTGTAATGATCGTATCATGTGTAAATAGGTGGCTACCAATTATCCTCATAATAATTAGAGACAGGTAGTCGAAAAGTAGTGATATCTGCAAGCTGCAGAAATAGATAAACTGAAGGCTTAGGTCTTAAGTTTGCCAAATGCTATTGATTGACCTTGCCTAAGTTCCCTAATGCCTCAACCTCAGTTTCCTCATTTGCTGAGTGGGTAAAATGATGACACCTAGTCTCATGAGATTTTAGTGAGAATAAGATGAGAATCCGCCAGAGACCTTGGCACAGAGGCCAGCACATAGTTAGTCCTCAGAACTGTCATCTCCACTAAAGGTGTGAGCCCCAGACTTGAGCTGGGTTGGGAGAATGCCTCTTCTGTGATACAGGTGAGTCAGCAGGCCTGGTTACTTACAGAGGCTTCTGACCTGAAAATCAAGATGGAGAACTGGCTTCCAGGAAGGGAAAACTGTGAAATTCTTTTCAACACAAAGGTTAAACTGTTTTTCCCCCCTGTAATAAGTTTTAAGAAAAGGAAAAGGTAACAGAGTGAAAATCAACCAAGCAATCTTGGACACCAGTTCTCATGTTACCTGTGGGAAGGAGATAAAAGCAAAGACTGTAAACCTACTGATCAGACAAAACCAAAAAGAGTATTAAAGAGAAGGCTTGATACCAGGCCCTGAATAGCCTCTCAGGAAAATGAATGATGTCTGGGATCACCATGTTATAAATCAATGAGCTGACTCAGATGATATCACAAACCAGAAGGACAAAATTCAAACATATTAATAACATCTGACCTTGAATATTCACCTTCAAAGTCATTTGTAATGTAAAATTCCTGGTTGGACAATTTATCCTATAATGATACATTTTTTGTTTGTTTGAGAGGAGGAAGTGGCAAGGGCTGACTTTAGAAAGGGGAAAAATAAAGGCAACTTTAAAAAAAAGACATTTGGACTTTGAAGGCAGGGGCTTGCAAAAGTTCCCAAGAGCTGAGGCAGAACTATCAGGTATCATGGTGGTGTCAAGTTTGTTTTCTGGGAAATATTTGAACTAATTTTATCAGCAGCATTTCTCTCAGGCTATTTACTACCTGCATATTTGTCCAGGCCTTTAGAAGAGACAGCCAAACATGTACGTTGGCAGTTCTTTCTATTTGGAGCACAACTTGGGTGGGGACAGCTCTCGTGTTTAACAGGGGTGGGAAGCTGACAGTGATGTTGCTACGGAGAAAGATGGGATTTCAGGAGCTGTCATCAGGATGGCGACGTCTGGTTGCAGTCGATATTTCTCCAAATGCCAACCACACAAGGATTTAAAAGAATGTGCAAAGAAGCATGTGGCGTGCTCCTCATGAAGCAGGAGCAGGCTAAGTGGCTTGCTTAGCATCATGACCCCCCCAGCCAATCAGGAGCTCAGGCACCCTGGCCTCTTCCCTGCAAGGCTTTGGCCACGTGCCCTCCTATACAATTGTGAGGAGATTGGATGAACCACGATGGCATTTAAAGCACTCTTCCATGGCGCTCGTGCAGTCGTAAGATTTCCCAAGAGGCAGTTGCCAAGATTGTGTTCTTTCCCACTGGCTTTTAATTTGTAAATTGTAATGGGCTCCCCTTTAGATATGGCGAGGCAGGTAGCATTCCACAAGGTAGCCAGAGATGAGATGATCCCATGTAAATCTTCGGGGTGTGCTCTCTGCCCTAACAGCGGAACCATCAATTCCTCTCGTGGTCAGACATGCAGCTTGCAGAAAGTCTGGTTTTAAAAAGAGATCTGTTATCAGCTATATTCTTAAGGGAAATTGAAAATCATACAATTTTGTTTAAGAGTAAACCACCCTTATAAATGAAAAGGAAATAGATCAAGCTCTGGGCCATATTTCTTTTTATGTTTTCACCCACCCTTATCATGCAAACCATGCTGGCCATTTTCCCGGATTCTTAACACTGCCTTGCCACTCTTTTCTTCCTTCCTGGCATAGCAGCCTATTTGAATTATTAATTCTAAAACACCTCCTTCCTCTCAGTCTGGGAGGCAAACAGAGCCACCCTTTCTGGGCAATAGAAAAAGTAACCAATAATATATTAGGAATATATTACCAAAAGAGTATTGAGATTCTCAATAAAAGGATACATAAATATCTATCCTATGAGTAAAGCTGTAAACAGATTTACTAAGCGGTTCAAGTTCACATATGATACGTTGCAAATATTTCTAAATAAACTTGCTATAAAACTTTCTCTATTAAACTGTGAGTAAAAGTTTCAAAACCAGAATTGACCTGTTACCTTTTGCTTTCAGGTTTTTATTATCTTCCTCTTGCCTAAAAACCCTCTTCTTAAGAGTTTCACATTGTTTTATTGAGCCTAAGGCTAAGCTGATATCATTTAGTGATTTCTCTTTAAGTTGGGGATACAGGACTGGGAGGTTTCCAGATACCCAGATAAGAAACTCAGGATTCAAGACATCTAGTATCTCCAGGGCAGCCCTTTTGACAAAAACTACTCACATCCTCTTTTTTTTTTTTTCTTTCTTGCTTTTTCATTTTTGGACTTTCCATTGATTCTGTCTGGTGTACCTTTCCAGTACTGAAGCATTTCTTCTCATCATCTTTGGTGTGGTGCAACTCTCCACGGGGTGACTCTAACACTATATTTTTTTTAGTATTGCTATTGATAAATACTTTGTTTGTTTTCATTTGGGGGCTCTTACAAGCAGAGCTGCTGTCAACTTTCTTGCACATATAACATGGCACATTGTGCAAGGGTTTTTTAGGATTTATATTTAGGAATATTGAAACTCTGTGGGGATGTACCTGTCTTTACTAATAATGCCAAATTGTTTTCCAAAATGGTTGTCCCAAATAATTCCTTATTTTTTTAAAAAAATATTTTATTAATTGTTGATGGACCTTTATTTATGTACGTGTGGTGCTGAGAATTGAACCCAGTGCCTCACATATGCTAGGCAAGCGCTCTACCACTAAGCCACAACCCCAGCCCCTCCCAAATAATTCCTTATTAATATAGACTTTGTGCCAGGCTCTGAGCTGGCTCTGTGGCCAGTAAGATACAATCACATCCCTTCCTGACAATGTCCACTTACAGTCTAGTGGGAAGAGTTGAGCAGTGAAGCCATCTTCCAAATCAGCAGAAATCACAAATGAAAGGACTTCTTTCATCTTCATATCTCTCCCTCTCTCTCTCTCTCTCTCTCTCTCTCTCTCTCTCTCTCTCTCTCTCTCTCTCTCTCTCATCATGTTCTGTTTCCCTGGTGCTGTCAACAATTGTACAGAAGCTGCTTATTCCCTGCTCCATTCTTAAGCACAATGAAATAATTCACTCACTCCTCCAGAAATGTCTTCTTTGCTTTGGAAAGAATCGCCCCCTGGAAAGCATCTCCAAAACTCTCCCTCCAAAACTCTAACCACTTTTAGGAAAATAATTCCATCAGACAAGTAGTAACTGGTACCTCTTAGGGGCCAGGTGCTTCTTCTCTCTGCCCTCAGGAATCTTAGATTTTAACAAAGAAGATAAGCTAATAAAAAAAAATGAACTACAAAAGCCCACTTTAACTACCCTTTAGAAAATGAAGCAAAGCACAGGTCTTTAATTTTTTTTCCTCCAGCTAAAGTAGATGAGAACAGTTAGTGCTTTATGCAAAAATGTCTTGGCACCATTCTTTCACTGCCCTCTGTAAGTTAATTGAATTAGGATCTCTCCATATGTTTTTCCCTTATTTATTCATTCAACAAATATTTATCAAGTTACTGTTGTGTGCAAGGCACTGTTCTTTCTAGTCCCTCACTATTTTGGAGCTTACATTCTAGTGGACTTGCATTTCCTCTGGGACCTCTTAGTGCCAATGACATACTGTCCTCACCTGATAGAGCTATTTATTTTACCCAGAATCCCAAGTGTATTACTGACCTGCCCCAGTCTTTAGTTTAAAATTCTTCCACACTGCACCTAAAAAACATCCCATTTTTCCATAGGGTTTTCACTTGCTTTTGGTCACAAAGTCACACCAGCTGCCTGGGTGTGGTCACACCATGATTGTCTGTAACTTTCCAAGATCTTCCAGACATTGGTCCAAAATAATGATAATTATTATTAAAATATCTGTAACATTTTAGAAAGTAGATTTCACATTCATGATGGTGTACATATTCACACCAAATTGAGAAGGCACATAGAAGCTTGTTCTTATTATCATTATTATAGATGCAAAATCTAAGGCTCAGAAAGGGTCAATGACTTGCTTAAGATCATATAGTAAGTGAGAAGGTCAAGATTTTGAACTGCAAATTTCCTTCTATTCTATTCCTGTTGTTGTAAAGTGTTCTGTTGGACAGTTCTAGTTATGGCAACCTTTACATCCTTATTAGAACAGGTATGGCAGACACCTGCTTAAAAATGTATATTGGAATTGAGGGATATGGACTGAGGTCCAAGAGTTTAAAACTAAAACAACAGCAGCAGCAGAGAGAAGCAGCTTCAGTCCAGGAATAAAAGAGATGTAGAAGAAAGCTGTTGCGGTTTGCATGTCTGTGCCCCTCCCCCATTCATATGTTGAAATCCTAACCTCCTCTGTGATGTCATTAGGAGGTGGAGACTTGGGGAGGTAATTGGGTCCTGAAGGTGGACAATCATGAATAGAGCTAGTGCTCTTACAGGAGGAGACCTGAGAGAAAAGATTTCTCTATTATGGGAGGATATAGCGAGAAGATGGCTATCTGTGAACACTCACCAAGAATGTGACAATGCTGGTGGTATGATTTCAGACTTCCTAGCCTCCAGAACTATGAGAAATAAATTGTTGTTTAAATCACCCAGTTTCGTCCGAAGATAAGGACAAAACAGGTGAGCCTGTGAAGAAAGAAAGAAAGAGAGGGAGGGAGGAAGAAAGAAAGAAAAAGAGAAAAGAAAGAAAGAAAGCCATCTATTGACATAAACTGGATTTAGTGGCTAGTTGGAGGTGGCCACAAAGGCAGTGATAGTTACCTTTTTTCTTTTTCTTCTTTTCTTTCTTTCTTTCTTTCTTTCTTTCTTTTTTTAGGAGATATTAAACCTCCACTGTGGTGTGTATCCATTGAGAAGAATTTAATTCTACAGGTGCTTTGACAACCAGGAGCATAGGAAATCATATTGACACAAGAGAAAATCCAGGGTTAGGGAACATGGGTCCCCACTCTAGAGGAGATATGGGTGACAGAAGAATAGATGACTGGACTAATACCAGTACCTGACATCCACCATCTTGGAATGGACTCCCTACTCTGCCCTTTCCTAGCTGTGTGGCTTTATGCAGTCACATAGACTTCTTCTTTAACAATCACGGATGGTAATGCCTTCTCTGCAGAGTGAGTGATTATGGAAGTTACAGATGACATATGAAAACACCACAGCCACCATAGAATACAGTTGTCTCCTGGTACATGTGGAGAGTTGGTTCCAGAAACCCAGCCCATGTGGATACCCAAAACCACAGATGCTCAGGTCTCTTCCATAAAACACTGTGGTATTTGCATATAACCTCACACATTATCTCATATACTTTAAATCATCTTTAGATTCCTTGTCATACCTAATACAATATAAGTGCTATGTAAATAGTTGTTATACTGTACTGTTTAGGGAATAAGGACAAGAAAAGAAGTTTACACATGTTTAGTACAGATGCAAGATCTTTAAATACTTCTGACTCAAGGTTGGTTGAATTTGTAGATCCAGAACCCACCAATACAGAGGGCCAACTGTGGGTCAGCAGTCATTGATACTTTTCAAAATGACTCAATGCTCTGGCAAAAGGATAGAGGCAGGGATGATGCAGGCAAGATAAGAAAAGTACTTTTTGGCATTTATTAGGCAGCCACTTCCTGTAATTTGTTATCATAAATGAAGAGCTCAGGCTAACCACTTCCCACTTAAGCCTACATGGTCTGACTGTCGGGGAATTGCTCTGCTTCCTTTTTTTCCATGTAGATAAATTCAGAATCAGATAAGATGAAGGAAGACATTTCCCTTTAGTCCTAACCCTGGTATATTTTCTATTTACATCACCAGTTTATTAAAAGCAAAATCTGACCAAAGTGTTAGGCAAGAATCAGTCCCTGGTTTGGATTTACATTTTGCCTGTAACCCTTAGGCTCTCAGTTTACCTTTCATAGCTCCTTCATCCCCTTAATACTTGTGGTTGAACTGGCTTTCCCTTGCTTCCAAGGTGCTTTTTATGGTAGAAGATTCAGAACATTGTAGACCAGGGATAAGAGGAGATTTTTATGGTGCTGTGTGCCCTTCAAAATGCTCCATTATGGGCTGGGGGTGTAATTTGGCAGTAGAGTGCTTGTCTAGTGTGCCTAAGATCCTGGGTTGCAAAGTGCTCTTACAGGAGGAGACCTGAGAGAAAAGATTGCAAAGGAAAGATTGCAAAGGAAAAAAAAATCATTGTAAAAATTCTCCATTAACTTGTAGCACAGAAATGACTCTAGTTATTGATTACAGAGTCTTGTGTTATAAATATGCTTGGAAAATTGTACATAGTTTGGATAAGAGATAATGTCAGAAGCCAGAAGTATTCCTATATCCTCTTCCTGGAAGTTCAAATGATGCTTCTTTTCTTCTTTAATTAAAATAATAATAAAAATAACAACGTAAGAAGGAAGAAAAGGAAGTTCATATGAAAATAAATCAAGTGTTCCATGACCCTCCCACCCAGAGCTAAAGTGATGGTGTAATACCAAGGTGACATAAGGACTTTGAGATACTTGGTTAAAAGGGTCATGTTGTTTACAAAACATTATTCTTATTATCATTAAAATAACCTGTAAGTAAGGAATTCTCACCAGCATTCAAAAATTACAGCACACCACAAATTGTCTTTTATGTCTCAGCTGGTGAAACTATAAAGAGGTTGTTATTCTACAAAACAGCTTTTCAAAGAAACCTAATTCAATTTTAAGAAAATGAATATGAAGGGAGAAATACCTGTTTCTGTTCTTTCAGTTGCCCTGTCTTCTGCTCCCACTCCGATTCTTAGTCAAATTTTCTTTAACATTCCCTGAAAGACCTCAGGAGTTTCCAGATTGTCTGAACAAATAATTCTCACTCTTTTTGGAACGTGGTTTTTTGACTGAGGGAGATCCATTACAGGATGACTGGTGGGGGTTGGGGGTGATAAATGTACAGAAAGTTATTGTGGGTGGTAAGAGGTACCAAGAGATTGGTTGTGAGTGCTCTGAGCTCTTGCTTTGAAGCAGTTTCATTATCATTAGGCTACGAGTACAACTCTACTTCTATCACACAAATGGCTACCCTGACATCTTCCATCATTTCAAAGCCCTCTTCCTTCTGCTGAACATGGAATACTTGATCCTCCTCCAATGTTATTATATTTTCATAAAACCTTAACATCTAAGTCAAAATTAAATCAGAAATATAAAGTGCTGCTTTGTTTTCCACATACCCTTTGATATTCCTCTTCCACAGGGCTGGGAGGTGAGCAGGGCTGATGGTTTTCCCAATTAACAATCACTGCCTTGCATTTGCCTAATTTTTTCTTCTTAAATGCTATGCCATGATCCATTTTTAGAAGATGCTGTATGTTCACCTAAATGAATCTCAGTCGGTGACATTTTATGCAGTGTAACATTAAAGTAGTTGGGAGGAATGATGTAAAAATAATAAGCAATATAAATAGCTACATTTATTGAGCCTTAAATATGAATCAGACATTGAAACTAAATAGGAACCAGATAAGCTTCTCATGTGCATTGCTTTATTAAATGTTTATAATATTTCTGTGAGGCAATTAGCAATCCTTTTAGTGGGTTGAGTAAACTGAGGCCAATGGTAGTTAAGTAACTTGCCCAGATTGGACAGCGAGCCAGGTTAGCCCCCATGGTCATGTGGTAGAGACTGTCCTTTAAATCTTTGCAGCTGATCCTAGCTAGCTAATCCTTCAGTTAGTTATTAGCAGAGTGAGCACCAATCTGTTATCCAAACTGGGACTGTTTGGAAAATCAAAGTGGGAACTATTAAAACTTATGCTAGGACTACAGGCATAAATGGGGACTGTCTTAGGGACATTTAGATGTAGAGTCAACCTAATTTTTAGGGGCTTGGAATATCATTTTTGGTGAACATAATATCATGTATGAGCATTATAGTCCCAGATCAATCCATACTTCTCCTTTCTTTCAGGGTTTTCTTTTATAAACCCAATGCCACAAT